CTCTCTCTCTCTCTCTCTCTCTCTCTCTCTCTCTCTCTCTCTTTCTCTCTCCCTCCCTCCATTTCCCTTCTTCCCTCTCTTTCCCTCCCTCCCTCTGTTTCCCTCCCTCTTCCTCTTCCTATCTCTCTCTTCTCTTGGGCTTGGAGGGACTTAACTAGCTAAAGCTGAAGACAGATTTAAGTACACACGACCCCACTAGTTCAAAGGGGAAAGAACCATCCAACTTCCACCACTCTGCCTTCAAACAGTCTTTCTAATCTGAAGATAGATCTCGGCCTAACAGATGGTTATGTGATGATTTAAAATCCCATTAGGGTTTAGAGCTGACTGCTTGCTTATTTGTGTAAGTGCAATAGAGCTGTGTGTGATTGCCCACTCTGAATTGGCTCGCCTGGACCAGGTGTGAGCTTCTAGTGGCTGATTCATTTGGTATCATTTAGAAGACTTTTCTGAAATTGAAAACTACTGGGAATTTCTTTAACAAAAATCCATTAAGTATGTGTGGTGATTTTAAATGGTTACATCTCTCTACGTGACAATTTACTACCTCGAATTTTCAAAGTGACTTACCTTTCACCCAAAATAGAAAAGCTAAAAGCAAGCATTGATTCCTTCTGATATTATAAAATCCAATTAAATTATTCAAACTGGGAAATAAGAAAGCTGAAAAGGCTCTTGTTTTCCATCTTTCTCTTTGCAAGGTTTTAAAATTGTAATCCTAGATGCACAGAATGGGTAACAATCTAACATTCAGTGACACATACGGTTCGTGTACTTCATTATCCATTATACCTTTCTCAAAGCTATAGAGTAGACCATGTGTATTTTTAAATTTAAATTTGGACCTCAGTACCCATAAAAAGTGTGACTAACAATTGAATTGTTACTGCCTAGAGCACGAGATACACTTTTTATAGAAAAGCTATACAACATTGGTTGAGCAGTCTCAGTGACTTTCTGGTTGCCCTCTTGTGTATCTGAATGGTCACTGGTAGATGCTGCTTTGGTTTCTTCACAATAATCAGCAGTGGCCATCAAAGTTTGCTTGAATCCAAGGTCTAAGTTGTTATACCTTAGAAATGAAATGTCTCAAAGGTACATGTGTTAAGGCTTGACAGCCAGTGCAGCAGGGTGCACAGGTATGGCTTTCAGAGGCTGACACCCAGTGCAGCAGGGTGCACAGGTATGGCTTTCAGAGGCTGATTGGGTCATTAGGAGTTTTTTGTCATCATTCAGCCCAAAATATGGAGCAGAACAAGTGATATTGAAAAAGCCTTATTTAATTTGCAGGTTCAAACATTTGGTCCACCAGGGCAAAACGGTTCTGGTTGTTTCTGGAGTTGTTGGATTTGTTAGGATAGTAGTCCAGGCTCTGGTGATCCTCAACAAGCTCGGCTCTGCCACCCCCTCTCAGTGAACAGGGAAAATAGTGACAGGTACAGAAAGCAGACTTGTTCAATGTGATCACACTAAGCTGAGGACCACAGAAACAACACCGGCTCCCATGTCCACCTGACCTGTCTCGATGTAAGTTAATTTCAAACAAAACAAGAGCCATCTGTTATTAAGCAGCCTTGGCCAACTGCCCGTCCCATCCATGACTGACCAACCCATAGTCCCACTTATGACTGATGAATCTGTGTCCCAGCTCCTGTCTCCCCTACAAAATGATCTGACCAACTGTCAGAACCATGTAAAATCTCTTTTCCAGAGGTAAGTTCTCTTCTGGCACCAAAGTCCCAACCTTTCCCTTCCCAGATGTGAGCCTCCTGGGGAAGGTCTAACTGGGATCCATTGTCTCAACAATCTGATAGCTGAAGAGAAAGGCATACTCTCTCTTTAGATGATGTTAGCATACCAAACAGCAGAGAAACAGGGAATATCCCCTTCCTATTGCTTTATCTTCTGTCCTAGCTTGACTCCCAGGCATGGCATGGTCTCACCCATGTTCAGAATGACTCCTCTGCCTCAGTGAATCCTCTCTAAACATCTTCAGGAAGACGTATCATGGATATACTTCATACATCTTCTAGGTTGAATGGAAAAACTAAAATTAAAAAGGAAGAACATGACTGCTCCTAAGTATGGTGGAGGAGAAGATTTATTGTAGATAAAAGCAAGAGCATATCCAGAGGCAGGGGCATCTGAGAGAGTCCAGAGTGGGCAGTACCCTGAACCAGGCCATGTGAGGAGAGGAGAGGGGAAGGAGGAGCCAAGAGAGTAAACAGTAGACAAAAAATCCAGACAATATAATCCAGAATAGCTGGATTATATAGGGAAGGGCAGCCCAGACTTTGGGCTGAAGAACTTTAGGAAGACTGAAGGGTATGACAGAAGCCTGTAACAGGTAGGAACTGAGAGATGTTGCGAGAACCTGAGAGTCAGTGTTTGGTCTGATATATTGTACAGGCACCTCCATTAGCCAGTTGTCCCAGGTTTGAGACCAAACATGGGTAATTTTAAATCCAGTCAAGTTGACTGGCCATTAGCCAGCGCATAAGAGTTCTAACTCACTACTGGATTGTTCTGTTGGTTAATGAGTTGTTTATTCGCCTGTGGCACTTAGCTGGATGAAGCAACCCACAAAGGAAGCAGTGGTTCCTGGCCCCTTTCCCCTTTGGTGTTCTCTCTTTGTTTTCTACCTACCATAAGATACACAGCTTTCCTCCATCCCATTCAGCTCATCATTGAGTTCTCCCTTACCACAGGCCCACAATAATGGGATCAAAGACCCTGGACTAAAACCCATGGAACATGAACCAAAATAAGCCATCCCTCCAACAGTCCTCATATGTCATGTCCCATGTCTCCTTGCCCCAACCCCCATCCTCCACCGTCCACTCCGCCACCCTCCTACTCACAAGCCGGTGTCGTCAGTCCCACATTGTACCACAGCAGTTCTATGTTATATGTGCATAGAGCAGACTTAATGGCTTCTCACTTCCAAGACTGTTGGAAATGGTGGAGAGACATCTTCTCAGCTGACAGTCATTTGGAAGAAGCCAGCTGTTTCATGAAAACCAACCATTAAAAGCAGGTGTCGAGAAACTGGAGAAAGAAGCAAACACACACAGAATTCCACAGAGTGCAATGATGAAGTATGGATGGACAGAATCAAATTCTAGGTGGCACCAGATAGAAGGATCCTCACAGCACAAGGCAATCAATGACAGAGAAGCTGTGGCGACTGCAGAAGCCCTCACCCACAGTCCTGGCAATAAGGTAAGCAGAACTGTAGGGCTAGATCTATGATGATGAAAACAAGCTGTTAACATTCACTTGACAAAGGAGGAAGAATCTAGATGTCACTCTCCGGAACCAGCTGCTTGCCTTGGGCATTACTAGAGTGCAGCGGGTAAAAGGTTGGCTGGGGGTTTGGTCTTCTTCGGTGGTGCTGTGTTTTGTGAGTTGTCATGCTTAGGGTGAAACTATATCCTTTTCTTCTCCTCTCTCTTTTTCTTTCAGGTCCTAAGTGTGCTTTTTCTAGTGCTTTGGGCTTCCTTACTCTTTCCCTAATATTCCCACTCCTACCATGAGCCTCAACACTACCATGTGGTTGACCTCCATGCTAGCTGAACTCAAATGGTCTGGCTTTTCCCCTTATCTTCTTTATTCTCCTCCCCTGAGCAGCTCCTGAGAGCTAAGCTTACCTGCTATGAGGTTTTTCTTTTCTTTATTTATCTTGGGATTTAATTTTATGTGTATGAGTAAATTGCCTGCATGTATGCCCTGCACACCAAGTCCATGAGTGGCCCCTGCAGGTGTTAAAGAAGGATGGCTGGCCATCAGATCCCTCAACTGCAGTTACAGATAACTGTGAACCTCCATGTGGATGCTGAGAATGACACCCTGATCCTTTGCAAGAACAGTCGGTGCTCTTAATTACTGAGCAAGCTTTAGTCCCAGGTTTTTCTTTTAAATGCTAATAAAAATTCCCTAGCGCCTTAAGTCATTTTCATAATGATATTAAGAGCCACAAGAGGGAACCCTTTTCCCTACTTCCATCAGTTGGCTCAAATGAGACTCACCCAAATTTCCATTAAGAAAACCAGTGACATAAAACAGTCATGGCTGCTGGTCTTAAAGATTTTGTTTGTCCTGTAGGACTCTGATCACCAGGGTTACCTGGCAGGCAAAAGACAGTCACAAACAGAGATGTGTTCAATCAGGTCAAGCTGAATTCCA